TTAAGCTTGACTTTTTCTTCTTATAGCTTTTAGCTAGTGTTTAGCTATTTTTAACTCTTACCAAGACATTTGCTACTTTTAGCTTTAAGCTTGACTTTTTCTTCTTATAGCATTTAGCTAGTGTATTTTTTGCTATTTATCTTTTACCAAGACATTTGCTACTTTTGCTTTTAAGCTAGATATTTTCTTCATAAGTTTTAGCTAAGGCTTTGCTACTTTTAGTTATTAGCTTTTTGTGTCGCTACTTTTACGTTTAGCTACCTTTTTTGTACTTTAACTGTTTTTTGCAGCTTTTAGCTTGAATTTTAACAACTTTTTTGGTTAGGATTTTGCTACTTTTAGCTTTTACTTGGTTTTTGACTTTTTCCTTTTAGTCACACTTTGTCGTCTTTAGCCAACCTTTTGCTACTTGAATCTTTTTTGTAGTTTAATCTCAGCAACGGTGTTTAAATCTTATGTAAAATGTGTTCCAGGTCCTTCCGTTGGTATTGCGTAAGCTCGGCCCCACAACGTGCCGTGAGGTCTGCTTGCCCTGGAACGCTGTCAGGGACGCTCTGGACCACATGACCCAGGCTGCTGCCGAGCACGTCGACAAAGAGCACTTCCTGGTTTGGTGGGAATCTCTTCAGGTTGGTTTCCGCTCAAATTTGTTCGACCTTTGGCATTTGAATATTTTGACGTCGGTGTCTTGGTTGGTCGTCTCTTGCGGGCAGGTCTGTGTGGAGGAAGTCCTGGCTGTGGTGGAGGTGAAGGGAGAAGACGCAGACATGGCGATGGAGCAGCTGGAGAGGCTGCTGTTTATTCTCCACACGCTGGTGGCCCACAGGGGTGGAGCCAAAGTCACCAAGCCAGAGTTGGTCTGCCAGGTCAGAGGAGACTTCAGACCGATGATGTTTGACTCGTCCTGACGGTGTTCCCCTCTGAAGTAAATTTTTCCACGCTCTTGAACCTTCAGGTGGCTCTGCGGCTGATTGACAGCTCGTCTTTATCCGCCTCCTGCTCCCGTCTTCTCCTTCAGATCTCCTCCTCTCTGCTGCTCGGGGAGAAAGTCGGCCTCCCTGAAGAGCTCGTTCATAAAACCGTCCAAAAGGTGCGTTTCCTCTGACAGAAGACTCGACCTCGCCTGGTTTAACACTAACGAAAAGACGCTCTCCTTCTCTTGGTCAGGTGTTTAGCAGCGCACTGGATCATGATCTGATTCTGGAGTTCACCAAGGAGATGTTCACCATGAACCAGTTTGAACAGGTTAGTTCACACTACAGCGTGCAGGGTTTGGGTTCTGCTGGTCTCTGATAACCTCCTCTTCTGTAGCTCTTCCTCCCCAGCCTGCTGCGCTTCGTCACCGGGCTGTTCGGACGCGGCGACGCCCCTTTTCGCCACAGCGCTCTCGACGTGCTCGTCTGTCTGATTCTCGCCAAAGCTCCGCCCCCTACGGTTGGCTCCATGGCCTTTGAAACCTACCCGCTCCTTTTCACCAGACAGACCACAGGGTGAGTTACCGCTTTAAAACTGGGCTGCAACTACCGTATTTTTCGGCCTATAAGTCACGTTTTTTTTTTTTTTGCATAATTTACATGCACTGCGACTTGTAGACCGAAGCGACGTATTTATGGATTTTTTCCCCCATATTTATAAACCAATTTTTGTCTGAGATATGACCGTTTTCATTCAATCTGATAGGGGGGGGAGAAGAAAAACAGTACTATTTTCAGCCACTAGATGGCAGCAGAGTAGTAGCAGTAAGGCATGCCGTTGTATCATGTAATAGGTAAACGTGGCTGTAATGACAAATTCATAAAAGTTCAAGACAAAAACAACTGGACTTTATTTATTATACTTTATTATTTTTGTCTTGACCTTTTTTCAATTTACCATTTCCTGAATGACGAGAATCTTCACTTAACGCAGTCGGCTTGCTGTATTCCCCCACCTTCATTCTGCTCGCTGCTTGGAGCTCAGCGTCAGTTTGCTGCACCGCCCCAACGAAATGCAGCTAATTTGACCATTCAAGTGCATTTATCAAGTAAAAGTTCAGCTGAGACACATCTTCGTTATAGTTTCGAGCAAACAAATAAATGTTTTAGGTGCTTTTCTTGTTAAATTTCGAAGAAACGAGCAGCGTTCCTCCTCCTTTTTTCCTCTGTCTGCGCGCTCCCGGAGCACGGAGGAAGCGATTATTTTTGAAATACAGCTGATTTGACCGCTAAAGTCCTTTTATTAAGCAAACGTTAGACTGAGACACGCCTTTGCTATAAAGTCGAGCAAGCAAATAATTGTTTTTAGGTGTTTATTTGTTAAATTTCAAAGAAATGAACAGCGGCTCGTCCCTCTGCGCGTTCACGCTTACGCGAATCTGCTTTTGAAATGCAGCTGATTTGACAAAGTGCATTTATTAAGCAAAGGTTAGACTGAGACACCTTTTAATATAATTTCAAGCAAACAAATAATTGTTTTTAAGTGTAAATCTTGTTAAATTCTTGTTAAAGTCCTCCCTGTGCACGCTCCCGCGGCTATCATTTGGCAGCCAATCGATTTTTTGCACAACACCGGCCCACATTGTCAGCAATGACACACAATAGGTGTGACGTAAACGGCGAAGCGACTTATTTATGGATTTTTCCACCTTTTTTAAGACATATTTGGACTGATGCAACTTAAAGGGTGGTGCGACAAGTACGACAGAAATTATGGTATTTGGAGCGGACGTGGGCAACATGTGGCCCGAGGGCCAAACGTTGACCTCGGACAATCTCCATCCGGCCCCGAAATTCTTAAAAAGAAACGGCTTCAAAAGAAGTTGATGACAAACGGCGTTCTTTCAATGAAACTTAAGGAAGTTTCAATTAAACATTTTGGACAAATACATTAAAAACATTTGGATCAAGATAGCTCAAAACTTTTCTTTACACTGTTGTTTCCAAAACTAGACTGAACCTTAAAGACTCCACAAAGCAAACTTGTCTTTTTACTACTTTTAGCATGTTACAAAATGTTTAGCTAATTTTAGCTTTTAGCTATCGTTTTGCTACTTTTAGCATTTTACAAAAAAATTAGCAGCTTTTAGCTTCCATTCTGCTAGTTTCAGTTTTTTACTGTTTTGCTAATTTTAGCTTTTTGCTACTGTTTTGCATGTCCTAGCATGTAGTTACTTTTTTGAACTTAAGTTTTTAGCTGCTTATTTGGAAAGTCACTGTAAATCTTATGTTCTTCTAGTTTTAGCTTTAAGCAAATGCTTTGCTACTTTTAGCTTTTAGCTTTTGTTCTGCTAGTTTTAAATCTTAGACACTGTTTTGCTCATCCTTGCGTTTAGCTACATTTCTGTTAATTTCTGTTTTCTTTAAGAGGCTAGCTTCGCTGCAGCTCTGTCGCTCTGGAGACGGGTCGAAGACGCCCGTGACAAAATTCACAAATTAATTTAAAACTCGACGACAGGAAGTTGAGAACTGCGGCGAACGTTGCGAGATATTCTGGAAACTCCACCTTGACTGTTAGAAATCAACTTGTCTTTGTGTTTCCAGCAGTAACGAGGCGAGCGGTTCGGTACCGGAGCTGGTTCTGTCACTGATCAGACCTCCAGAGGAGCCGCCCGTCACGGACCTGTCGCTGCCTTGGGCGGCGCTGGTGCTGCTGCCGCACCTCCGGTACCACCTCCATTACGCTCATGAGCTGCGTTACATCAGTGAAGAGACGCAGCTAAATATGTGACGAACTCGTTTCTGCTGAATTTTTCAACGCCTCTTTGTTGCTCTTTGTTTTTCCGTTCAGCCCTCTGCCTCCAGCTGACGTCGTTCCTGCCGTGGCGTCTTTCCTCGGCCGTCTTCTGCGTGAGGTTGAGGAAGACAAAATGGGACGAGGTTCTTAAAAATACAACAAATAAATGCAGAAACTCTCAGGGACAAGACTCAACAAGTGTGTGGACTGAACTGGATTGATGTTTTTTTTTTCTAGCTGCTTTGTTTGTAGCCAGACAGGCTCTGAGCTGCCTCCTCTCTCTGGACGGTTTTGTCCTGGTCTCTGTGGACAAGATCAACTCAGTCCTGCGGTAAGGTTGTAACCTCTGAATCGTTCAGAATCTGTTCCTCCTCTTCAACGTGTTGAACTCCTCATCGCTGCAGGAAGTTTCCCACCGACCTGTCGGCGCTGCTGCTCGCAGACCTGTACTACACCCGCCTGGCGCTCAGCGGCGCGTCGGACCACCTGTCCCACAATGCAATGCTGGAGCTCTTCAGCATGCTGCACGCTAACTTCTCCTCAAACATCCCAAAGGTTTGCCTCCTCTGAAAGAAACACCAAACTCCCTAACCTGACGGCAAACATCTGGACGTCAGAAGAATTGGTTTTCAGTTTTGACGATGACTTCTTGGTTCTCGCAGATCCGCCTGCTGACCCTGAGGATCTTCTCTCAGTTTGAGGCTCAGCTTCCACCGCAACCTGAGGTATTAAAGTCGGTCTCCTTCAGAATAAAGTTGCATTTGATTGTGTCGCACATTTCAGCTTAAACTCAATCTGCTTGAAAATACAAAGTACCGATTTTAAGTACATGTTGAAACATGTAAGGTCACATTAAAAAAGCTGCTTAAATCGGGGGCTCACGACTGCACTTAAAGAAAAGTGGCGCAGGCTTAAAGAGGTTAATCCAGATGGACCCATTTTTTTCTCATCTTAAGGGCAATTTAATAAATAGAGATTTAATTGATGTGTAGGCAGGGAATAAATTGCTGGATTATTGGATGGTGTTTCTAACCTGATGCATCTTAGTTTATAAAATCACTTATTATATGTTTGTTCCATCCAGGGTGAGGAAAGCGTGGAGGCTCAGTCGGTGTTTGCCATCTGCCTGCTGGCGGAGCAGGTCCCTGCTTCGGTGCAGGACTACAAAGAGAAGCTGCTTCACCTGCGGAAGCTGAGGCATGACCTGGTGCAGCGCAGCCTGCCGCAGGGCCCCCCCGGCACCTTCCAACAGGTACAGAGGCGAGCCCGACCGATATGGAAACTTTAGCTGTCGCCTATATCGGGCGGGGAAGCCTAATGCCGATAACCGATATATTGGTGGAAAATTTGTCCCTAATAATATAAGTAAACAGTCTGTCTAACGTGTGTTCATATTTTCTATCCTCCACTATTCACCGTAAAGTTATCAGTCATGTTACAAAAATATAAATTAAACAAAGAAACGCCCTTTCCTGTTCGTTTAAACAGTGATTTCAGACATACGATGCATTTCATTGAGGACGACAAAGATAACGTCACTAACACTGAGATATATTTTACCTCTACGTTAGATTTATTGTTCTGGATAAAGATTTACAAGACAACAGCTTATGCTAGGTTATCTAAACGTTAGCTTGTTAACTTGAGAGGCATGTAGCTAATGGCAAGTGGGTTGGAGGATTGAAGAGATTACTGTTGATGTTTTTTTTATTTTACAGATCAGTTACAATAAACTTATGATGCTCTGTTCAGCTAAATACGCTGCACAGTATTACTCGCTGCTTCACTTGTGCTGAAAGTGAAAGTTAAAGTGAAAGGCCATGACTTGAAAGTAGTTCTTATGTGCCCTCTGCTGGATACATTGCAGAATTACACCTTTTGCCAATGAGGACACGGCTTATTCCCAGTGTTTATATCGGTGCATAATGGTACAATTATCATCAATACCGATATGTCCCCAAACGCCTATATCGACCTCTGCCGATACATTGACCTCTGCCGATACACCGACCTCTGCCGATACACCGACCTCTGTTGATACACCGACCTCTGTTGATACACCGACCTCTGTTGATACACCGACCTCTGTTGATACACCGATCTCTGTTGATACATCGACTTCTGTCGATACACCGACCTCTGCCGATACACCGACCTCTGTTGATACATTGACCTCTGCCGATACACCGACCTCTGCCGATACACCGACCTCTGTTGATACACCGACCTCTGTTGATACACCGACCTCTGCTGATACATCGACTTCTGTCGATACACCGACCTCTGCCGATACACCGACCTCTGCCGATACACCGACCTCTGTCGATGCACCGACCTTTGCCAATGCACCGACCTCTGCCGATACACCGACCTCTGCCGATACACCGACCTCTGCCGATGCACCGACCTCTGCCGATGCACCGACCTCT